AAGGTCATAAATGAAAAAGAAAATAATGGAAAACATTTCAGTATTTTTTATGCCAAGGACTGTGCCCAACAGAAAAGTGGACAAGAACTTGTTGGGCCATTTGACTAACAACAAATTCAATGGACTTTCCTGTGCATGACTTTGGAAGTGGGAATAAAGAGGGGAGTGGGGGTGGGTCTTCTTCCTGGAGTTAAATATGAAAAGTATACTTCAGTCCTAGTTATTCAATTCACTTTAGAGACAATTTCATGAGAAGGCAAGTGATATAAAGGTTACGAAGTCTTGTCAGCCATGTGGCTTTCCTGTGAAAGCTAGAGTTATCCCACAGTCTATGGATCCAGACTTATTTTGGTCTTAGGCAGAGTTTGAATGACTCCAACACCAAGTAATATTCTTCCACCAGTGAGGTAAAGATGGGGCTAAAAGGAAGGGTGGGGAGAAGGAAACAAATTTTGCCAGAAAAGAGTTGGGAAAGCCTATCATGACCAGAATTATTCCTTCATAACTCTACTGATATGTCTGCATCAGTGACTTGGAAAAGATTTATGGAGGATGGCTTCCCCTAGTAGCTTATCAAATAAACTAGAAGTAGTGCTGGCCAAACGGTCATATGAACGACGGGACAGTAAGGTTGCAGGTATTTATTTATAAAATGCCCAGAGTGTCTATATTACTGTACTCAGGATTGTCACATACAGATGCGAGTTTATGTTGATGAAGCTTCCTAGAGTTGTGCAGTGCACACCCTGTACAACTGTATATGACCATCCTACCTGTATAAAAAGAAGCTGAAGAAAATAGACACAGAAATAGATCCCACATCTAGATGGTTAATCTGATTATATTATTGAGTCAAAAATAGGCATTGGGTTACCCTTATTTCTAGACAAAATATGTTCTGCTTAGAATGAGAAACTTAGCAGCTAAGCAGTATATATAGTAGATTGTTTTTCAGAATGAAGAATTTCTTTCTTTTTTTATTTAATTAATTTTGTTACAGATGGTTTTCCTTTTTCCCCCCATTGACACCCTCCTCCCGTTCCCGCCCATCCCCATCCCCCCAGCATTGTTGTCTATGTCCATCGGTTATGCTTATATGCATAAGTTCTTTGGTTGCTCTCTCCCTCCCACCCCCTCCTCTGAAGTTTATCAGTCTGAACCCTACTTCTATGTCTCTGGGTCTATTTTGCTCATCACCTTATTTTGTTCATTATATTCCACAAATAAGTGAGATCATGGGATTCTTGTCTTTCTCTGACTGGCTTGTTTCACTTGGCATTATAATCTCCAGGTCCCTCCATGTCGTCTTAAAGGATAAGAAATCTTTCTTTCTTACAGCTACATAGTATTCCATTGTGTACATATACCACTGCTTTTAATCTACTCATCTACTGATGGACACTTGGGCTGTTTCCAGATCTTAACTATTGTAAATAGTTCTGCTATGAACATGGGGGTACATATATTCTTTCTGATTGGTGTTTCAGGCTTCTTAGGGTATATTCCTAGAAGTGGGATCACTGGGTCAAATGGAAGTTCAATTTTTAATTTTTTGAGGTAACACCATATTGTTTTCCATAGTGGCTGCACCAGTCTGCATTCCCACCAGCAGTGCACTAGAGTCCCCTTTTCTCCACACCCTCACCAACACTTGTTGTTTGATGATTTGTTGATGGCGGCCATTCTGACAGGTGTAAGGTGATACCTCATTGTTGTTTTAATTTGCATCTCCCTGATGATTAGTTTTGAACTGTGATTTTGAAACATATTTATCTCATTTCACAAATTTCATGCATTGCCTACCCCGATAGCTCTCTTGAGTACAAGTGGCAAGGCAAGGTTCATGAAATTAGGATGCCTTATACCCAAATGTCATTAAGCACAATTGTCCAAGGTATTAACATCTCTTTATGTGGTTGCTACAGGGAAAAAATGTTCACAGACTCATGTAACTATTGTAGAGGCAACTCTAGTCTAAGCTGAAAACAAAAAGAGGAGAATGTTCAAGGCTAGAAAGTGAGGACAATGGGGTAAGAGTAATCTAGGGATAGAACTTGCATTGCCATCCATTCTGGAAAAGAGGTGGTTAGAAGAGGGGAGGGTAGAGTGAACCTTCTCATGGACCTACTACTGAGGAAGACCCTGAAAATGTCTTATAATAAATAAAACACATTCATCTCAAAAAGCAAAAAATAAAATTCATACCCCAGTGTTCAAACCACTACTATCCTGAATATGCTTTCATTCTAAATTTTAATTTAAACAAGAGGATCATTGACACTAAGAAACATATTTCTTCTTAGATTTTCTTTTAAGAAAAAGTTGGAAGGGAAAGGAAAAGTATTATAATCAATGTGATGAACCTCCTTATCCTTCCCTCACCATTCAGTCACATCTATAACAAAACTTGTGTTTAACTATAGGCAACCTTCCCTTCTTGTCAGAAATATTTAATTTAGCTGGGGATTGGGTGGACATAAGCAGAATATATATGTAGCTTTACTTTTTAAAGGGAATTCTAATACATATGAAGGAAATCGCTAACAGTATTGCTAAGCATATAATGCTGTATCTTCCCTGTGTAAGAACATGATTTCTGTCACAAGCAAATTCAAATGCTTTCCTTTATTGCCCCATTAAATAAGTTTGTGTGTTAGCAGTAAATTTGAAACATTTAAAACCTCACTGTGCCCAGGACACCTAAAGAATTCTTGGTGTCTGTGTTCTTTAAAAGTTGAACAATCTCAAGAATAGTACTTAATTACAACAAATCAGTCTCTTCCGGTTCCATCAAATACACTGATGTTTTCAAAGTACAATGGAAACATTTTTAAACTCCAGACAACAAAGTTGGGGGGGGGGGGGGCGGGTGAAACTCCATGAACCTGGCACATATAAACCTGAGTTTTGTGCACTTAAGAAAAAAATTAAACAGCCTGAAAAGTCTTACTTGCTTCAAACAAGTCAGATTTTTTTTCTCCTGTTACATAGGCTCAAAATTGGATTCCTTTTCACCTGTAACCTGGCATTAAGATCCAACATTCAGGCTGGTGGAAAAGAAGGGGAGCTGAATAACTATGACCTCTCCCATGTGCATTTGGAATCTGGAAAATTAGAAAGTATAAACTGCTGGACAAGGTGACTGTCTATCCCTAACACAGAGTTCACCCTTTATAGATATACTGTGTATCTGTTTATGTACTGTATGTTTATCTGTGCTTTATACATAACAAGAGGAAGACTTTTTCAGCTCCAAGGATCAATTTCCCCTGTTGAGGGCACTACCACCCCTGGTGAAAATGCATGTCATAACAACAGCTACAAAATCTCAAGTCCACATCTGATTGTCTGCTCACAGCCAGAAATTCCTAAATCAATAATGATTTAGCACTTCAGTCAAAACAATTATATCAGAATCATTTTCAAAATAGAAAGTAGAAAAAAAATAATAATCTATGAAATACATAAAACTGGGTGAAATATTGCTCAGTCAGTAACATCCCAGTTAATTTTTTTGCATTATTCTCATTCTGTTGGGTTCCATATAATGCTTGCTCATAGAACCAAAGATTCAATTACTGTTGAATTTTACACGTTTCAAGGAGCAAAATATCAAATTAACTTCTGAGAAAATATTTTTCTAGATGGTGGCAATGGGTAATTTGGAAAATTAGAAAACTTCTGTGGAGAGCACATAGGTTTCCATTGACAGAAGTAATTAACAAACTAAATTAACTAACATTTGCTGCTCACAAATGACATGAAAATAAATGGTCCACAAACTTATGTGTGTCACAAAAATAAATCAGTGCTTCATTAGCAAATCACTATGTTATCCACATATACAACTGAGGAGAAATTTCCCTATCTGAAAAGATTCCAGAATATTCATTCATGTTCTTTTACATCTCCAAAACAGCCCTCAGCATTTTCAAACACTCACAGCAAGAATCAGAGTGAGCCTGAGAAACAGAACACTCATTAACAAATTGAGGATGCAAAAAAAGAAAGTCCTCCTGTAAGCCAATAAAAAATCTGCATTGTATTAAAAATTGAGCTCACCTACCTTCACTGGTCCATGTTCATAACTGGAGTCTTGCACCAACTGCAGATAAAACATCATGAAAATATTCACCACTGCCCATTGTCTGTACATTTTGAACATTTTAATATCCACTGATTATGAAGTAGTTGACATCAATCAGCTAGAAAAAAAACTATTTCAAAAGGCATTCTCCAGAAGGAAAGCTCGAAACCCCAAGATTGCACATGGAAAAATAAATACACTGTGATAAAAATCCAATGAAACAACTTCAATTAGTCAAGGTACGTTTTTGTATAATCTTATGTGGACAGAGAGATGAAAAACTTTCAAATGTTCTCATGCTCCAAAAATAATCAGGAGGTGGACATGTTTTCCACTTGCAATAAGAAAGCACTTTAAATCCATTTCATGCCCAGCAAATTTAAAAACTCTCTCCACCCTATGCCCCAGGTTCTAGCTGCTTTGTAAAGAGGTGGTGTAGCTACCAATGTTTGTAGCTACAGAAAAGCTGGAACCCAATTCTGGATTCCAACTTTTTTCACAACCCTCATGGAAGCTTGCAGGAGCATGTGTCTTAAATCTGACACAGATTTTGGCAGAAAATGCAGGAAAGTCTTGGCTGTAATCCTGTCACATCCCTACCAATAGCAGGGATGTTTTAAAAACTGACTCAAACGCTCAGGACTGCTGTTATTTTAATGTAGATAACCTGTAATGTGAAACCTCTGCACATAGGCATGACTGTGTATCGAAACTGCAGTGCTCAGGAAAGGATCTCAGATACTCACATATCAAACAGCAGTGACACACAGAAGCAATCAAATATGCTTTAAAATCCCACACATTCACAAAAATAACAAAGTATCCACACATACATGAAAATCAAACATACATGAAATGAAGAATACTGATTTTTAAAGAAGCAACAATTAGGTTTATTTGCATGTGCCAGGAAATATCTCACATACATTGCTATAAAAATCATGTTATCATTTTAGTGTGGAATTCTTCAGAAGCACCGGCTTTGTCAGCTTTGAAAAATGAATGCATTAACTGAATGGATGCCACAAATGGCAGAATTCCAGAAAGCATCAAGACCTGCTCTTGTGCTCTTCACTAGTTTCCAATCTTTGATTTCCAGGTTTTGGCTCTTTCAAACCCATTTTTTGCATTTCTGAAATCAAGAATGGCCTGAGAAATCTCTTCATTGGTGTTCATCACGAATGGACCTAAGGCAGAAAGAGACATTCAGAAAGTTCTGGATGATGATAACATTCTCTTCTACCACTAGAAATGGTATGGGTTTTTGTAGTTCTTAACTTGAAACAATTCCAGGCATATCTGAACAGTAAAAGGTTATTTTCACAGCATCCAATCCCCAAAGATGGTAATACAAATTTCTTCACTAGGATTATGTTTCATTATAAAGACCAGACTTTAGGTAAACAAAGGCAATTACATCTCATTCATCCTTTGCAGGTTGTCATCTACAATGACAGTCTCTTTATTCAAAACATTTTTAGGTTTGGTTCTTATAACCATTTTGTAGTTGTTAGGCTTTTCTTCCTTCCTTGTTTTTTGAAGATATAATTGAAATACAATATCATATTAGTTTCAGGTATGAACATAACAATTTTATATTAGTATATATTGCAAAATGATCACCACAGTAAATCTAGTTAACATCCATTTTTTTCTTGTGATGAGAACTTTTAAGATTTACTGTAGTGGTAGCTATATAGTACCAGCTAATGTCAAGAACTGAACCAATCTGGTACAAAGAACTGGCAAATCTCATCCAAATTTGGTATCTACATAATATATGAGACTGTGTACTTACATAACCGGTCTAAGTCACTTTTGAAAATTAGCAACAGTTCGTTGATAATAAACAAAAATTTCAAGTCAAGAAAGCATCATATTTTGCCTTCTCTAAGGGCTGGCAAACTTTTTTCTGTAAAGGGCCAGATAGTATATATTTTAGATTTTGGGATCCAACACTCTGTCTCAACTACTCAACTCTTCCACTGAAGTGCAAAAGGAGCCACAGACGATATGAAAATGAATAGGCATGGCTGTGTTCCAATAAACTTTCTTTACGAAAACATGCAGTGTATAGATTTGGCCCATGGGTCAGAGTTTGCTGGTCTAATTCCTAGGTTTGAATTCATCTTTTCCTAAAAGTGCAGAAGTCTGTAGTGTCTGTCTTTTCCCTTTTCTTCATATACTATGGGGGCAAAGGGACAATGTCCTGGACTGTACACTCCAAGATCTATTGGATAAACAAGGATAGCTCCTCTATGGCATTTGCAGTATTGTGAAAGCAGTTGACAGATTTGTCCATTCAGTATATTTCTTCTACTGGTATGCAGAGGTTCCTGACATTCCCTTTATAAAAGTTTCTCATCTAAGGAGCTTTCTCAGAGAGACCCAAATTAAAATAGAATTGTATTACTTGGAGGGAATCACATATTCGAATCTTTTAACCACTGTTAGCATATCAGGGCTTTGGCCTTCACTATAATATGCCTTGATGATGTTGAGGTCTTTGGGGATGTTGCAGGGAATAGGATGACCATACAAAGAGAAACAGGCAGAAAGCCTCTGAATTCATTCATTCATTCAATTACCTATCTATCGAGTATTAATTGAGTGCTTATTCAAGGACAAACATTGTGCTAGGAGCTACAGACAAATGACAGACCCTTTGCCCCCAACGACTTCAAATCTACCACACAGACAGATGTACAAACAAATTATTATAAGCCGTGTGATACATGAAATGATAAAAGTATGTAAAATGGATGGAATCAGTACAGAAAGGGAAAGAAGGGTCCAGGAAAGGATTCACAAAGGAGGTGATGTTTGAACAGGCATACATGGAGAAACAGCATTTTTGGGATTAGCATGCTGGAGGAATTGAGAATGGGGGCACACTGTTTGAAGAAGGGATCGGGATGAGGGGCACGGGGGAATCTGATGTGTTTGAGGAGGCCAGACCCCTCTGGGCTTTGGATTCCATCTACTGAAAGAAGTTTGGACATAATTCTGCAGGTGATTAGGAATCACCAAAGAGTTAAGTAGAGAATAACATGATCTGATTTGCAGTTTTTGAAGAAAACTTTGGCATCAAGATAAAAAGGATGTCTGACCTGGGAGGCCTGTTGATGGTAGAATTGTTAAGGGTAATTGAGATATAGGCCATAGGAGGCTGTGGGTAGAGCAAGGAGTTCAAGTCTGGATATTTTGACATGAAGGTGCTGGAGAAAATAAAATGGCTTCCTGCCAGAGGTGCTCAGTATATTGTTGGAAATATGGATCTGGGGCTCATGAGAGAAATCACTTCTGCAGTTGGAGATTGATGCAATCAAGTAGAGAAAAATGAAAGAGCCCTTATGTGTGAAATAAATAATAAATCTAAGAAGGTACCCTGGAGAAGCCAACTTTTTTTTTTTTTATCCTCACCCAAGGACATTTTTCCATTTTTTTGTTCAGATAGAGTGGGAGGGAGGGAGGGAGGGGGAGAGAGAGACAGAGACAGAGACAGAGAGAGAGAGAGAGACAGAGAGAGAAACATCGACGTGAAAGGGACACATCGAGTGGCTGCCACTTCGAGCGGCTGCCACCCACACAACCAACCAGGGCGAGGGACAAACTGCAACCGAGGTACACGCCCTTAGCGGGAATTGAACCTGGGTCTCTCTGGATCACAGGCCGATGCTCTAACCGCTGAGCCAAACTGGCCAGGGCTTATTTTTATTTTTATTTTTATTTATTTATTTATTTTTTGTGGTACATGCCCTTAGCAGGAACCGAACCCGGGACTCTCTGGTCTGCAGGCTGACGCTCAACTGCTGAGCCAAACTGTCCAGGGCAAGAAGCCAATTTTTTAAAGGACACATGGAGGAAAGGGAATGGAACTCAGAAAATGAGAGCAGGTACTGGGCCAAGGACTGATTTCCTGCATGTCATACTTTTGCTATAGTTTGGACTTGTGGAACACTTCTCCCATCCCCTAATTATTTTTTCTGTAAAAATGGTGCACTTCTGGGCTTCCATTTTGACACTTTTCTGAGGTATTTTTCTGTACTTCTCAATTTATAGTGTGCCCATGAATCATCTGGAATCTTATGTAAATGTATATTCTAATTCTAAGGTGTGGAGTGAGGTCTGAAACTTTGCACTTCTATCTCTTGAGTGGTACTGATGCTGCTGTTCTACAGACCACGCTTTGAGAAATGAGGGAAGTTTGGAGCCCTCCAAAGCCAGGTTGAAGAAGCTCATCTCCTCAAATCCTCAAGAAGAAAAAGAAAACTGAAACCAGAAAGCAAGTTTTGGGTTTTTATTCCTTTTTCTCTTTTTTTTTTTTTTTTGCTATTATATTAGCAAATTTATTTATTTATTTTTTAAATTGAGGTATAATAGGCATACATTTTATTAGTTTCAGGTGTATAATATAATAATTCGATATATGTAGATATTGCAAAATGATCACCACAATAAGTCTACTTAACATGCATTACATAGTTACATATTTTTTCTTGTGATGAGAACTTTTAAGATTTACTCTCTTAGCAATTTTCAAATATACAATACAGTATTATTAACTATCATTGCCATGTTGTACATTACATACCCCAGAAAGCATGTTTTTAATTGATCAACTATAAGGGTTATAAATAAGAAAAATGTTTGATAGTTGTTGATAATCCTATAAATCTTCTTTTACACTACAGTTTTTATCTCTTTTCTAATTAAACCTTTGAACTCCCTCCCCAGTAATAAAAATGGCATAAGTTTAATCTCTCATGATGTAAAACCTTGATATAGTAGAAAGAACACAAAATATGGGGTCAGGAGTTAGTGACTGAATCCTAGTTCCACTGTCAACAATCGTGTCCCAGAGAAGCCACAGGGCACAGTGAGGGGCAACTGACACTACATAAGGCAGAAGGGTGGGGTGGTTGGAAACCAAACAGCCTGAGTGTGAATCCAACTATGTGGCCATGAGCAAGCCAATGAACCTTTGCACCTTCACTTCCTCATCTGGAAAATGGGAATGAGAGAACCTACCTCATAAGGTTGTTCTGAAGATTAAATGTATTAATATTGGAAAGCATTTCAATCAACCCTGGTAAAAAGTAAATGCTACCCAACTAAATAAGTAAAATATTGAGATTTCATTTTCCTCGTTTATAAAAGGGACATGACTACATGATGCTAAGAACATTCCCTATTCCAACAATCTATGACATCCTGCGCTTAATTTGTGGACACATAATTAAGGAGTCTCGATAAGAGAAACAAAGGCCTTAGCTAATTCATGCCCAAATAGTGGATAGATGGTTGTGCCTGCCTTTAAACATGAACAGATGATAGAATAATTTAAATGTCTAAATTTTTAAGAGTTAAAAAACAAAACAAAATACAAACAAACAAAATGCTTTACTTCTCATTAACTGAGATTTCGAGGGACATATCTTTTGAGCTTACCATGTTGGACAACTGGTTCTCTTAATGGCTCCCCAGCAATAAGGACAAAGTGGCTTCTCTCAGGATCCTAAAGTCAAGGAAGAAAGCATCAAACAATAAACATGCTTATTTTTGAATATCAAATTAGGAATAATTTGAAGTTGACATGCTAAACAAATGGACAAAGTTCCTAATTCTGAATATAAATTCCAGAAATATTATCTGTGCAGTACTCAATATAGAAATTCTTATTCCTTAAGATGTTTGGTAGCATTTAAAACATAAGTCCAGACCACAAAAATATTAACCTTCTCAAATAAGGAAGAATTTAAATTAATATTTTCCTTAACTGGAAACCTCTTTAAGGCAAACTGTGTGACTGACCTGGCTATGAACTATGTGATTATAGGATTTATAAATTCCCACTAACAATAAAGTTTTTTTTTCAACATAACACATTTTATTTCAAGCCAGATCTATACAGAGGAAAACGGCAGACCTCAGATTTAGGTACTAAACGTTAATCTAAGATTCCATTTTAAAGCACTACTTCCTGGTAACTACTCAAGTCTCCCAGTTGCTCTCCATCCAGATGGAATTTATCTTTAAAGTACAAACACTCCAAAATCAGGTAATTTTCAGGTAGAAATTAGTCCTCTTTGTGCCCTTTCAAAACAATTACTCTAAGGCTCTGTAGCAGACAAATTGAAGACATATGCACAAGGAGTAGAACAAGCTGACCTGAGAATTTGTGTTAAGGCCATGAAGGTAAATTTAGGCACAAGCCAACGACAGGTTTTTGTTGTTGTTGTTGTTGTTTCAATCCTCACCCAAGGATATTTTTTCCATTTATTTTCAGATAGAACGGGAGGAAAGGAGAGAGAGAAGAGGAGAGGAGGGGAGGGGAGGGGGGGAGCGGAGGGGAGGGGAAACATCGACATGAGACACATTGATTGGTTGCCTCCCGCATAATCCCAACCAGGGCTGGGGATAGAACTGTAAGTGAGGTACATGCCCTTGACCAGAATCGAACCCATGACTCTGGTTTGCGGGCTGTTCTAACCACTGAGAAAAACCAGCCAGGGCCCAACTACAATTTTTTACATCTATTTTTATTTTGTTTTCAATCAGAGTATACATTCAATATTATTTTGTAATAGTTTCAGGTGTACAGCTTAGTGGTTAGACAATCATATACTTTACAAAGTGTTCTCCTTGTTATTTGAAAAACCCACCTGGCACCATATATAGTTATGTACAGCAAAGGAAACCATCAACAAAATGGAAAGATGATCTACTTGTTTGGAGAACATATTCACCAATATCCAACAATTATAAAGAATTCAAACAAATCAACACCAAAAATCAAACAATCCTACTTAAAAATTGGCAGAGGACCTGAATAGGCACTTCTCCAAGGAGGGCATACAGATGTACAATAGACATATGAAAAGATACTCAACATCAGTAATCATCAGAGAAATGCATATTAAAACCACAATGAGATATCACCTTACAACTGTCAGAATGGCTATCATCAATAAATCAGCAAACAAACAAATGTGGGCGAGGATGTGAAGAAAAGGGAACCCTTGTGCAGTGTTGATGGGAATGCAAATTAGTGCAGCCACTATGGAAAACAGTATGGGGTTTCCTCAAAAAATTAAAAATGGAACTGTTCTGTGATCCAGTGATTCCACTTCTGGGTATTTATCTGAAGAAACCCAAAACAATAACATGAAAGAATATATATACCCCTGTGCTCATTGAAGCGTTATTTACAACAGCCAAGCTATGAAAGCAACCCAAGTACCCATCAATAGATGAGTGGGTAAAATAGTGACGGTACATATGTAGAATGGAATATTACTTGGCCATAAAAAAGAATGAAATCTTACCATTTGCAACAACATGGATGGACCTAGAGAAAGTATTATGCTAAATGAAATAAGTCAAATAGAGAAAGATAGATAAATACCATGTGATTTCAGTTATATGTGGAATCTAAAGAATGGAATAAACAAACAAAATACAAACAGACTCAGAGGTACAGAGAACAGACTGATGGTTGCCAGAAGGGAGGGTAGTTGGGGGACTGGGAGAAAGAGGTGAAAGGATTAAGAAGTATAAATTGAGCCTGGCGGGTGTTGCTCAGTGGTTGAGCATCGACCCATGCACCAGGAGGTTGCCAGTTTGATTCCCGGTCAAGACACATGCCCAGGTTGTGAGCCAAATCCCCACTGCGGGGCATGCAGCAGATGGCCAATCAATGTTCTCTCTCATCGATGTTTCTATCTCTCTCTCCCTTCCTCTCTCTCTAAAATCAATACAGAAAATATTTTTTTAAAAAAGAAGTATAAATTATTAGTTACAAAACAGAAATAGGAATGTAAAGTACAGCATAGGAAATACAGCCAATGATATTGTAATAACAATATAATTTTTAAATGGAAGATTACGCAAATCCAAAAGTAAGATTTTATAACTTTTGACATTTATTACTATTAATGTAAAATATGCCCCAGAAATGTTGCACTAAATGGAACCTTATAAAAACATCCAAGGGATATTTGCCCAAGCAAATTTCTCTCCTAAGAGTCCTATTGTGTTAAAGCTTCTAAGAGTTTTTGTTTAGATTTAAGATTAATTTTTCCCCTGAAACTGAAAAAAGTATTAATTATAATATGCAATGTTAATGCAGATGCAGAGAAAGATACACTTTTATATATCATTTGGGAGGTTTGAAGTTGGTACAGGAATCCTTCCAGAAAAACCATCAGAAGAACACCCTCCCACATCACTTGTAAGAATAATAAATGTTTTAAGCCACTAGTGAGTAGTTTGCTATGCACTAATAAATAACTGAATATTATGTATTTCTTTTGAGGCATCTCTTAGGTTTATCTAATGTAAAATAAAACAATAAGTTAAACCATAATATTAGATTAGGTACTTTTTTCAAAAGCCTTTAAAAATTTTTAAAGCTTTACCCATATTCTAATAATATAGCATATTTCTAAATATGTGATAAAATAAATAATATATTATATTTATATATTTTTACTAATATAAAGCTCTAATTAGAAATCATTATAATGTTACTAGTATCAGAAGAGTTATCTCTGGATTTAATCACAATGAATAATGAATTCTATAATTTTCTATGTAGTTAAAAAAAAGTAGTATTTTATAGGACTAAAATGTATTTCTCCTTCTGCTTCCAACTTTAAAAAATAAAAAGGGAATTTAGGGTAGACGTTTTCTGCAAAAGTGTTAATTTACTCCCTACACTCCCAGGGCTGGTGTAATTTAGTACACCCACCCAGTGGATGATTTAATCATTTTTTCATATTTAAAGAATATATTTAAGTATTCCTAGGCCTGTATTTATTTATACATCATCACCTTACCTATCCATAACACAATTTGCTGTCAAAATTTGCTAATGTGAACTCAGTTGAAAATCAAAGAGTGAACTTAAAAATTTTTAAAATAGGTGTCATAAACCACATACTTTAAAGATTAGTGCTTTAACTTTAGCACAGACCTTCACTCAATTCCTACTTATTCTTGCTTTATACACAATACTAACAATTAGGCTCTGTGGTTATCAGATCTATAAGAGATTCAAAGCTAGAAGTCAGAAAAGCACTTCTGGATAGCAATACAAGAAAATAGACAGCTTAACATCAATGATAGAAATGAAGAAAAATATATAAAACAGGCACAGAAGCTTAAAAATTTGTTAGGTCCTCTTGCATCATACTTTATAGCTCACAACAATACTTAATATATATGCTGATGTCCCAAGGATATGAATAAGTGAAATTGTGCATAACAGAATCTAAGCCCACAGGAAAGGGGCAGGTTTCTATTTGAAATGATTTTTTTTTCAAATGTCATGTTTAAATGATTAAAAATTCAACTTAAAAAAAGTACAGTTATCAAAAAAGGTGTATTCCCTAAAGACTCTGAAGTGGTGAAATTTTAGTGTGACTCAATAGACACTTGAAGAAAAATCTTAGAAAAATAGTTCTAAGTTGAAACTACATCATTTATAATTTAATCTGAAAGAAGATGTCACTGATTAGTGTTTTGAGGTATTTTTTGGAGGGGAGACACACAGAGTTTTAGGGTCAGGAGGCCGAGAAGAGAGTTGGGGGTTTTGAGAGAATGGAAGAAAAAGGCCGACCTCCTGTGTCATGGAGGTGTTGACTTCTAAAACTAAGTTTGTTTGTTTTTCTTAAATCAGAAGATGCATCTTTTGTGAGCAACAAACTTGTCCTACAGTTTATGCATTTTAAATAATAATGTTTTAAAAAGTAAAGTTTTGCTCCTTTTGATATCACTCAAATCAAATGATGACTTTCCATTTATAATTTGGACAATAGGATAAAAGGACACTTGTATTTGGTCTGAAATGAAAAATGATTAAACTGCTGGATATTGAGGAGTTCAGGGGTTTGGTTTCCCAATTCAGAAATCTGAAGGATGGTCCAAGCTTCTTTTAATGACTTTTCCACAAAATTAATCTCTGAGTGGCCCCTTCTGCTCTAACCTAAACCAGATGTTTTGTGTCTTTTTCCTTTTTCTTAAATGAATCTTTTCTCTTTCCTTAACTAGACTTTTTTAGTGAAAGCTGATAATCTTTCTGGATATTTAGTAGAGTGCTGATGTGCTTGAAAGTTCCAATTGTTGTTATCTTGAAAAGTCCTTGTCTATGGTGAGTGACCTTGTATACCGTGCCAAAAGATGGAAATCTTGCAAAAGCAGAAATGAAAGCTCTGTTTAAGACATGGGTCCCTGTGTTAGTCTAAGTCAATGAATTTTTGGGGTTTGATTAAAAAACCACATACAAAGGTAATAGAAGCCCACTTACTGTTTCATGTACATCATTACTCCCCCCAAAATTAATGGTCTTTTGGGGCCCAGATGATGTCTTTTACTTTACATGTGTTTTGTTTTGTTTTGTTTTAGTTTGGTGTACATTCTCAGAGTTCCTAGTTCAGAGTTGGCCCTTCTGTGTTTAGTTAATAATTTATTCTTACAAATTGCTCTTGTTATTCCATAAATCTTGTTGCCAAGATATGGCTTGTGTTCCACTGATACCAACAATAAATTATCAAAGTCCAGATGAAGGCTCTATGATTCATTTAAGGTGGTAATAACTTCTATACTATGAGTATGTTCTCATAGTTTGTTTGATTGATTAGACTCTGAGAATGAATCTAAGGGCAGCTTTTCCTCCAAGAACATTTATTATAGTGATATATTACCTGAAAAAAAATCACCAGAAAGAAACTGATGTGTAGTATGACTTAACTGCATGCAATTGTTCTTACTAGATTTCATATGTAATTGTATATATTTTTTCTAACCACCCCATGCAGTTTGCATCATTACTTCATTTGCAGACTAAGAAACTGAAGCTCAGAGAGGTTGAGAAACATTTCCAAAGTCACAGAGCTAATAAGTGGTAAAGCCAACATTCACATCTTTACAGTCTATTCTAAGGGGACTTTCTACTGTTCATGAATTTAAGCAACACACACCCATTTAAATGTCAATTTTTAAAAATGTATTCTTTCATAGAAATTGTTATAATTTCTTGATGGCTCACACTCTGTGTATACACAGCAATAATTACAGAAGTGCACATAACAGAATGATGCCCCCAGAGCTAGGAGTGTTGCTTATCAATAAACATGGTTTCAGCCAATTTTTTTCTATCCCGCTGCCTCCCATCTTTCTGGCTTCCCTCAGTACTTCTTTCTGGTGTTCCATTTCAGCTTCCAAATCCTTAACATTTGCAATGTGCCCTCTGCTATATTATATGAAGGGCTGAGGTTATCAAGTTAAAACCAGATAATGCTACAATCTAATCTGCTGTCAGTAGGTTCTGGTGTGTAGTTTCCATGTCTTTTCCTGCATTGGGTTGAAATAAAATTACCATTTTTTGTAGGTCAAAAGTGGCAGTTTCATATAGTTCAACCTAATCATAGAGAGCATAGGCACTGAGATATGCATTTCATCTGGTGCTCATGAGTTTTTCTTCTATTTACTTCACAGTTCATGGCAGTGTTACCGATGATTAAGGCAGCAGTAAGTGAGCTGCCAAGAAAGTGGGCTAAAATAGAGTATCTCCTCAAATCCATTGCATTCTACAATGCCAGGGTCAGAGGGCCAGAAGTCAGTCAGATTGCTTCTCTACCAGTCACCTGCACACTTAAATAGTTTTTATCATTACTTTTCAAAATTCATCCTTTCAGAATCTTTAGCAAAATTATCTCTTTAATCCTCTTTATTAGAATGATGCAAAGCAGTCAGATTGGCTTCACGGGCTCACAAGATAGAGGGTGAACGAATCACCCAAGGGAATGTAATAGACATAGGGAAGAAACTTGGTAACCTGGGTGGGGGAAGCTCCTAAGACTCCTAAAATATCAGAAACTTTACTTAAAAAGCAGGGCTTCAACACGAAAGGACTATGAAATGGATCACATATTCCTCTCAGTTCAAAATGGGGATGGCTTCCAAAGGGCTTTCTGAGTGTGTGTGCATATCTATGTTTATACTCCTAGAGGGCTGGTCCATTTTCACTCATGCTAAAAATAAAATACATCAATTGTATAAATAAAGTTAAGAGACAGTCTAGCTGGTGTGGCTCAGTGGTTGAGCATCAACCCATGCACCAACAAGTCACTGGTTTGATTCCCAGTCAGGAACATGGCCAGGTTGTGGGCCCAATCCTCAGTGGGGGGCATACAGGAGGCAGCCAGTCGATGTTCTCTCTCATCGATGTTTCTATCTCTCTCTCCCTCTCACATCCTCTCTCTCTAAAATCAATAAAGGAAAAAAAAATTTTTTTTTAAATGCCCTGGCCAGTTTGACTCAGCGGTTAGAGCATCAGCCCGCGGACCAGAGAGTTCCAGGTTCAGTTCTCGCTAAGGGCACATACTCCAGTTGCAGTTTCTCCCCGGCCCCGATTGGGGTCATATGGATGGCAAACAGTCAATGTGTCTCTCTCATGTGGATGTTTCTCTCTCTTTATTCCCTCTTCTCTCCCTCCCACTCTATCTGAAGATAATGCAAAAAAAAAAAGTTAAGATATTCAAATTTCTAGGGGTAAATAATGGGGACATATACAATTCCTGAAGACAAGAAATCAGTATTGATAAAACTTTTAAATAAACCAATAAAAATAACGGAAATTAATGAAAGGGGTTGATAAACTTGTGGCATAGTTTCTTTACCCATGGAAGAGAAAATTTTCTAGCTACACTGGAGATTCAGGCATTTTCCTGGAAACTAGTAGAAAGCACAAGTTTTAAAAAGTTGAAGATTTTTAAGATTTACCTTGTTCTCCACCTGGACACTGTCACCTTCCCCCAGCACAGCTGTGTGATGAGGTTCTATTTTTTGTTGTGCATCATCAGGTCCTACAAAAAAGGTAACCCATTAAATGTAATACTTATCATAGTACATTTATCACATGGTTACAAATTTGGTTTACTAGACAGCACTGTAATATTCATTTAACTTCAGAAATAACAGACAGGAATCTTCTTAAATCTTTTGGTTGATTATATATACAATTATTTAAAGCCTGAAACTAGCCCAGCTGGTGTGGCTCAGTGGTTGAGCATCAACTCATGCACCAAGAGATCACCGGTTCGATTCCGGTCAAGACACATGCCCAGGTTGTGGGCCAAATCCCCAGTGGGGGGCATGCAGGAGGTGGCCAATCAATGTTCTCTTTCATCGTTGTTTCTATTTCTCTCTCCCTCTCCCTTCCTTTCTCTCTCTGAAAAAAATCAATAAAGAAAAAAAAATTTAATAATAAAGTCTGAAACTGGCCCTGGCCAGTTTGGCTCATTGGTTAGAGCATTGGCCCGTGGACCAAAGAGTCACAGGTTGGATTCCTTCCAGTCAAGGGCACATACCTCCCTTTCGGTTTGTCCCCAGCCCTGGTCAGGGTCATGTAGGAGGCAACCGATTTATGTGTCTCTCTCACATCGATGTTTCTTTCTCTCTCTCTCTCCCTCTCCCCTTCCCAGTCTGTCTGAAGATAAATAGAAAAATATTCTCGGGTGAGGATTTTTTTTTAAAAGTCTGAAAATGGTTGGTTTCCACTATAGAAAAGACCAGAGAGGTGACTCTTGCATTGTGTTTCCATTTACACTTTTACTGTCATGACTAATACAGTTCAATTAGCAAGCAAAGTCCTTGACATTACATGCTAAGAAGAGTGTTTCCTTGTGTAAATGATAAACCTCATAAGAATTCAGTATATTTAGGGAAATGAATAAATGCCATTATTATTTCATTTCAATAAGTGTTTATTGAATACCTATAATTGTTAAAACTGAGAAAATACAAAGAAATGCAAAGCAGATTCCTTGCATATAAATAACTTGAAATGTCATTGGGAGAAACAATATTCACAGAATAATCAGAACATAATTCAGTCGAACTATAAATTGGATAGCAAGTGAACTATGAACAAGGCTCAGTGCTAAATGCTGTGGTTGGATCTTCAGAATTAATGTATTTCCATTCCTTCCATATTGAGACTCAAGATGAAATAATAAAAATGAAATTGCATCTTAATGGCAACAATAAAGTAATAAGCAAAGTTCAGTGAGAAAACATAGACTGTAGGGGCTAATTCAGGTCTAGGGACCCAAGGAATTTGTTGTGGAGGGGTTAAGATTTGAACAGAGCTCTATAGAATTAGAGTGACCTACAAAAGGCAAAGCTAGAATAAAGGGCATTCTAGACAAAAATCTTCTATAATTGCAGGAACATTCTTCTGGGAAGAATGATGAAAAAGTAGAATAGAAAAGTAGATGAAAAAAAATAGATGGAAAAGTAGATCAAGGTGAGACTTGAAGGCCATCTTACCCATATACAATGAAGGGCCTTTGATTAAAGTGTGTGTGTGTGTGTGTGCGCGCGTGCGTGTGAGAGAGAGAGAGAGAGAAATGGTCAGATCTGTGTATTGGAGAAATAACTCTGAGAGAAGAACACAGAATAAATTGGAGTGGGTAAGATTGAAGTTAGGGTAACCTATTAAGAGTTTATTATAACAGTCTAAATGAAAATGAATTACAGTGTGAACTGAGAGAGTGGACACACGAAGATAGGGATGGATTTGAGAGGTAGAGTTTAAAAAGAATCTAAAGAATTTGGCAACAGTAAGAGAGAGAAGAGTCTAATATGATTCTTACTAGGAGCAGAATAATGTAATGACCTGAAGGTTACAACAGTGGTTTTTCAAGAGGAGGCTAGGGAGAAACCAAAGTGGGATAGAACAGTCATGCAAATGGACAAGAGAAAGAAGATTCTGAGCAGTGTGAGGAGCCCACAAAGCTGTCTAGAGAGGTACACCTGTAGGAAAATAATAATAATCAATAAGGAAGTGTTTAGTGAAATAAAGACAGTAATTGAGGAGTTATTATATGAACAGAAACATATTTTGTGAATTTTGTGAATATTGCTTAGAGTCCAAATATAGCTATATTTTCAAGAGAAATCCTCCACTTTGCAGATAACCCATATGAAGCAACAAAGTTCATTCTGATGTTCACAAACATGAAATAGGATTCTCATAGTGCAGGAGTTCTTAAACTGGAATTGTTGTGTTCCCAATGGGTCTGTGGATAGAATTCAGAGCAACCACGAACTTGGATGGGAGATACGTTACATCTTTATTTTTACTAACACCTAACTGAAATGTGATTTGTCTTTCAGTTATGAATCTAGCCAATGAAGCACAGTAGTATTAGCTGGACCAATGACTTTGTCTCCAGTAATAACCACAGATGTTTTCATATCTCATTACAGTGTTACAGATATCTCAAAATACAGTGATACCTCGGTTCTCGAACATAATTCGTTCCAGGAGGACGGTCGAGAACCGAATTGTTCGAGAACCGAAGCAATGAAACCAATAGGAAAGCGTGACTCCACAAAGCGTGACTCTCTCTCTGCACTCACACTGATGACGCAAGCAAGGCGCGCTGGGCCGAATGAACGCCATTCGGCTCATCTCGGAAGTTCGAGTTCCAAATATTTGTTCGGATTCCGAGACAAAAGTTTCTCGAATCTCCATTTGGTCGAAAACCGAGGCGTTCGAGAACCGAGGTATCACTGTATAGTTTATGTTCATCACTAATTAGAATTCAGAGTAGACTGGTTGCTGGATCATGTTATTTCAAATGCCATTAGAGAATCACACATATAACTATATCACAAACTTGTTATTTTAACATTTTAATGACTTGAGTTAAAAAAAAAAATACATTGTTCAGTGGTGGGACCTTGGCAAGTGTCAAAAGTGTCCATGGCACAAAAAAGATTAAGAACCTCTGTCCCAGAGGCAGGAATGTGCTAGTTAATGTTTAAAACTAGCTTTTGAAGACAATGGGAAAAACAAATCTGATTTGTAGTGTGTGCCAATTTCCATAGTGTAAATGATCCCACTGTGACCAATTTCAAGGTACCAATGTAAGGTCAGGGAAGAGGTACATAACCAGCTTTTGCAAGCTGGCAGGAACCCGCCCCAGCATACCACTAAAGGTTTCTTCTCCATCCAAGAGTTAGGTCAATGAATACCATGGAAGTGAATGACAGAACTCTGTTGACTTTCCACTCATGCAAAGATTTGGTAATAAAAGAGAGTTCTAGAAATCTAACAATAATCTCATTAAAGTTGGGTAATATTTTTAACTGTGATATGGAGCAGCATTTTATTAGGTGTGTTTTACTGAGATTCACTGGGAGCAATGAACCATGTCTTTACCTTCAATTAATTCATGTGTAACATGGTCTACTCCTGGCACTTAATTTTATCATTCAGGATGGTTCCTGATACATAGACCCAAACAATTTTATAGCCCCTTCACTATAGTTTAATGGAGTGAGCTGACAAAAGACAGCTCTCTAAAAGAATGCTGGATTGGAATTTCTCTGCACCTCCTATCAAGGGCTTGCTTCACTATGGTGTTCATTGGTCTGTGGGGAAATCTTTATTTAGAAACAAAGAATTCATGTTTTCCTAAGAGCTCTCATTCTAACTTTATATGAAAATGCCATTTCTACTCACTATCCTTGCTGATCTAGGAGAAAAAGCACAGTGCTGATTCTGAAGAGCCCATTTGAAATGTTCCCTGGCGAAGGGAGACTTTTCTTACAGATAGTACTAGAGTCAGGTTTCCAGGTTAATCATTCTAAGTGTATCTTAGCTGCTGTATTCTTTTATGAAATACTTAAAACAGGATCACAGAAAGCAAACACTGATTCTATCTTCACGTCATTTCTAGGCTATTTAACCCATCTGGTTATCTCCTGAGAATGAAATAAGTCTCAAAGAAAATATATTTTATTGTTTCTGACTACTTTCAATTATAAGTAGAGCCAAATCAGATAATAAATAGTTTCCATTGAGAAGCTTTGCCAAGAATGTTAAATCTAATAGTGCAGTCAAGGAAAATTTAACTGAAAACTATTGAATTACAAATATTTTTGTTTGCCTAAATAGTCATAAAAGGTCAAAATACTTTTAAAAGTTATAGCTGGGACTATCCCATTCCAGGTGGAAGTGGGGTACAGACTGACAATCCCCAGAAGAGGGGGTGGCGGGGGAGAGATAAACCACAGAACTTATATGCATGTGTACATGAACAATGGATATGGACAACAAAGCTGGGGACAGGGCGGGGAGGGGGGGGGAGGGGGGATCAGTGGGGGAAAAAGGAGAAACATCTGTAACAAAAATAAATGAATTAATTTAAAAAAAGGAAAAAAGAAATGCAGTATGAAAAAGGAAAAAAATAAAAATATCGATAGCTTTAAAAAAAAAGTTACGGCTACATCTACAGTGTGTGATTGATTGCTGTGCAGCTGTCTCACATGCCATCTTTCCTTTTCCTTTTCCTTTTCCTTTTCCTTTTCCTTTTCCTTTTCCTTTTCTTTGTAAGAACTGCTGTCCCATTTCTTCTATTCCACATGCTCAGGTACTTCTATCATAGATTTTGCTACAATTAATTTTATATGGACAGTTGCAGCTTTCTTTTCTAATTCAATCAAGATCATTAAGTGAGAAAAACAAACTGCCTTAAACATTTTATTTTAAATTAAAGTATAACTATGCCTTCATTTGGCAATTTTTAGAAATAAAGCCAAGGCGGGTATTCTGATTGGACTGAAGTACTTCTTTCCTTAAAAAGCATGCACATAATGACCCACTGAAATTCTTCTAGATTATTACAGTTTCCCCCAGTCTTTTACTGTCTCATACTAATTTAAGCCTTTTCTGTAGCAATTCATGTTTGCAAAGCATTTTACTTAGTTGTTCTAGAAAAATGAACTCTCTTATCTATTTCATTAATTTCATTAATTAACATATTGTTTAATTAAACTGCATAATTGCAATGAT